CTGAGATATACCATTTAGAAAGTGGGATCATAACTTTCACGTTTCATATGGCTTTATTTGGTGATATTTTATGATGTTTCTGTGTCATAAACAACATCAGCTATCATAATCACACCTGATTTCAATGAGGTACAATGTTTGAAGCTGGCTGAGTGTTGTTTGATCCCTGATAGTACTGTTTTGAAGCCGAGTGAGCGCTCTTGTCATTTGGAGCTCCGCCTGGATCTTTCATGGAAAAAACACTCTAGAATGGTCAGAATGGTTTGAGCAATTTTCTTCAAATTTGAAACAAGTGTTCATTGATAGTGTGCCTACAGCCCCACAGTGTCATTTACCTGCTCAGATGAAGCAGTCAGACAGTTATTCATCCTGAAAATCATTTTTTATTTTATTTTAGGCAAAATCTTCAACTTCTTACTGACTTCAGAGGCCCATTACTCTGTCTCTGTATCACTTAGAGTGTTTCTGACACTTTCACAAGAAACTTCAGAGAGTTTTCTTTCTGGCAAGACCTCATGCATGCATGTAGTCAGAGCGGTTCAGACGCTACAGTCATTTTAATTTGGGTATGTCATTTTAGGCGTTTTCGCTACAAAATAGGGGTGGAGTGCAAGAGGTTACAGGAGAAAGTGCAGCTTCCAGCAACAAAGACGAATCTGGAGGCACTGCAACCCCTTCCCATAGAAGAAAGCGGAGGACCAAGGATGCTTCGAGAATTACTGAGTACAAGAGGTTGCAAACAGAGGTCAACCTGGGAGAAGACCACAGGCAGAAGAGGGAGGATGCCACTCTGGAAAGGTGGATGACAATACAGCAGGAGGCAGAGGAGAGACGCTTTAGGATGATGCAGGAACAGCAGGCAGCCACAAATAATATATTTATTAATGTTATGCAGGCATTAATGCAAAGCAGCATGTCTCACCAAAGCCAAGCTCCACACCCTGCAGCATCCTGGGGTCCTGTATATCATACGTCTCTTCCAGCTCCTGACTGGGTTGCACAGCAGCCTCCACATCTGCCTCCACACCTGCTAACTACCCAGCCCCAAACTACAACCCCCATGGATCTCACCCCACGTGTCCTGAATCAAAGTCATGGTGCTGAACCAAGTGAGGAAGAAGACAAGCATTTTTTCCACTTGTGATTTCTTTTGAGTAAGTTTTTTTTACTAAACAGCACCCAGCACTTCTAATTTCTGTGTGGTTTTCATGATGTTGTGCTCTTTCAAAATGTTTACTGAACTTCAACCAGCACTGCTAATGTGCAAGCTGTATTTTCAGATTTAAAATGTTCACTGAACGGGAACTGCCCATTGGTTCGACAGCCCATTGGTTCAACAGCCCATTGTTCCGACCATATTAAACTCATTGTTCCGAAGTCTGTTCTGAAATCATCATGATGCCCTGTGGTTAAGGTCTGGTTAAGTTTAGGCACAAAAACCACTTGGTTAGGGTTAGGAAAAGATCATGGTGTGGGTTAAAACGAAAAAGAAACTCATAAGCCGTGAGCCTGCTCCGCCTCAAGCCAGCAGCACAACCACACACGTCACATTATCCAGGCACCGCTGCAATACGAGTTAATCTGAGAGACAGTGGAGCACAAAGGCTCCGGAGAAGAAGCTGAGTTAGTGACATCCAGAATGGCCGAGTTAGCAAGATGCAGTAATGGGATACGAGAGAGAGAGAGAGAGAGAAGGAGAGAAGGTGCCCGGTGTATTATAGGGGGTTCTCCGGCAGACTAGGCCTAAGTCAGCCTAACTAGGGGCTGGTACAGGGCAAGCCTGAGCCAGCCCTAACTATAAGCTTTATCAAAGAGGAAAGTCTTAAGTCTAGTCTTAAATGTGGAGACAGTGTCTGCCTCCCGGACCGTAACAGGAAGATGATTCCACAGGATAGGAGCCTGATAGCTGAAGGCTCTGGCTCCTGATCTACTTTTGGAGACTTTAGGAACCGTGAGTAACCCTGCGTTCTCAGAGCGCAGTGTTCTGGTAGGATAATAAGGCACTATGAGCTCTCTAAGATATGACGGAGCTTGACCATTTAGAGCTTTATAAGTTAACAGTAGGATTTTAAATTCAATTCTGGATTTTACAGGGAGCCAGTGCAGAGAAGCTAAAACAGGAGAAATATGATCTTGTTTCTTAGTTCCTGTTAGTACACGTGCTGCTGCATTCTGAATTAGCTGGAGAGTTTTTAAGGACTTACTAGAGCTACCTGATAATAGAGAGTTACAGTAATCTAGCCTAGAGGTAACAAAAGCGTGGACCAATTTTTCTGCATCTTTTTGGGTCAGGATAGGCCTAATTTTCTCAATATTACGCAGATGAAAAAATGCAGTACGTGAGGTTTGTTTTAAATGAGAATTAAAAGACAAATCTTGATCAAATGTTACTCTGAGGTTTCTTACGGTAGTGCTAGAGGCCAGAGCAATGCCATCTAGAGAAACTATGTCATCAGATAAAGAGTCTCTGAGTTGTTTGGGGCCAAGAACAATAACTTCAGTTTTGTCTGTATTTAACATCAGGAAATTGGTGCTCATCCAGGTTTTTATGTCTTTAAGGCAGTTATGGAGTTTAGTTAATTGATTACTTTCTTCTGGCTTCATAGATAAATACAACTGAGTATCATCCGCATAACAATGGAAATTTATAGAGTGATTTCTAATGATGTTGCCTAAAGGAAGCATATATAGATTAAATAGGATTGGTCCGAGCACAGAACCTTGCGGAACTCCAAAACAAACTTTAGTATGTAAGGATGATTGATTATGAACGTCAACAAACTGAAAATGATCAGATAAATAAGATTTAAACCAGCTTAGTGCAGAACCTTTTAGGCCAATTAAGTGTTCCAGTCTCTGTAGCAGAATTTGATGGTCAATAGTGTCAAACGCCGCACTAAGATCTAATAAAACAAGTACAGAGACGAGTCCTTTATCTGAAGCAATAAGAAAGTCATTTGTAATTTTAACTAGTGCTGTCTCTGTGCTATGATGCACTCTAAATCCTGACTGAAATTCCTCAAATAAATTATTATCATGGAGAAAATCACACAGCTGGTCTGCTACTACTTTCTCAAGGATCTTTGAAAGAAAGGAAAGATTTGATATTGGTCTATAGTTGGCTAACACCTCTGGATCCAGGGTGGGCTTTTTTAGTAGAGGTTTAATTACAGCTTCCTCAAAAGACTTTGGTACATAGCCTGTTAATAAGGATATATTGATCATATCTAATATATGAGTGTTAACTAAAGGTAAGACCTCCTTAAGTAGCCTAGTTGGGATGGGGTCTAAGAGACACGTTGATGATTTAGATGAAGAAATCACTGCGGTCAATTCTTGAAGAGAAATTGGGGAGAAGCAATCTAAATATATATTAGGTCTTACAGCTGTGTTTGAGGTTAGATAGGTACTATCTGAGGACAGGAGGTCATGAATTTTGCCTCTAATAGTTGGTTATGTCTCCTACAGTCAAACAAAATACTGAAGTGAGATGTAAACAGAACAGTCAACACAACTGATTGCTTTCGTAAAATAATTTATTGTGAACTGTTTAAGAAAATGAGCAAAAATAGGCTGCAAATGACAACATTTCCTCAAATTCAAAAGCTCAATACTCCTGTCTCAGAGTCCCTGACTAGAGCTGCAGCTAACAAATATTCTGATAGTCAATTAGTCACAAAAAAAGAAAAAAGATTCCTGCACACTGTTGCCAAACTTGCAAAATATTTAATGGGACAAGGCAGCTATGTTTCGGTCATTACAACCCTGCCTGACGAAGGTTGTAATGACCGAAACGTAGCTGCCTTGTCCCATTAAATATTTTGTTTGGCAACAGTATGCGGGAATCTTTTTTCTTTCTTGACCTGAAGTTTTTTCCTACGCACCTGTTCAGGAGACTCTTCAAAGGCGTGCATGAGCCAGTTTTTTTTACTTTAAGAAATACATCTTAAAATATAGAAAATATATAGAATAGAAAATATTTCTACAAAACAAGTCATAGAATTTCACAACACAATGGTGAAAAATGTTGATCATTGTTCCCCAAAGCCCAAGAAGACATCCTCAAACCAACAGTCCACAACCCAAAGATCTTCACTTTACTGTCGTAGACCAGAAAAACCACAAAATATTCATATACAAGAAGCTGGAATCAGAGAATGTGGACTTTTTCTTCTTTAAAAAAAAGACTCAAAACGATTAGTTGATTATTAAAATAGTTGCCAATTAATTCAATACTCGATTAGTCATCGATTAATTGATTAATTGTTGCAGCCCTATCCCTGACAGAACATATAAATATCAAAACCATTTAAATATATAACAGTAGGGTGAGGAGCGAGCTCACAGAGTCAGTAAACACTTGTACTGTAGATTCAACCTGTAAAAACAAAAAAACAAACACACATTTGATGGAATCCTTCTCATTACAGTCATTTAGCATACTTCAGGCCTCACGGACTCATACTTACATGCTGTGAGGTGCTCCACTCCCAGCCAAACGAAGGCAACCAATGAGTAGTGGAACCAGTATTAACAGGCCTACAAAGATGTCCTGGGTAGGCAAGGTCTGGTCTTGGCTGGTGATCTTCATCATCATTGTCGATCCATTGAGTTGGAGAACACACGGGCATCATGAACCCTCCCAGGCCAGCCAGTGTTGACATCCCAAAACTTCATGGTGTTATCCACAACACCTTGCAGAATTACTGAGTAATAATAATAATAATAATAATAATAAGCTTTATTTGTATAGCACCTTTCCAAACAAAGTTACAAAGTGCTTTACAACCGCAAAAATAAAAGGCAGAATCCAATAAAATGACAATAATATAAAAAAATATTATAAGCACATAAAAGTAATAAAATACGATAACACATCAAAAATAGAAAACATTAGACATTATTAGAATACATTATTAGATGACAACAGGAGTTAAGTAAAAGCTCATTTAAAAAAGTGTGTTTTGAGAGATTTAAAAGAGGACAGAGATGTGGCTCACCTGAGTAGAAGCCCTTCCGGTTGTAGTAGTCAGCTGGGTTGTGAGACGTTGCCAGGATGCAGATATGAGTGCCATCCACAGCCCCTGCGCACTGTGGGAACCCCCATCTGTCACTGAAACCTCTGACTATTTCTTGGACTTCTGCAGCTGAAGGTTTGTGCAGGTATTGTGGATTTAGGGTGTCGTTGATGGCAGCAACAACTTGTTGTGTGAAGACACAAGTACTCGACATTCCCACGCCAAAGAGGTGAGAGATGGATCGGAGCTCGAGATTAGTGGCCAGCCTCCACAAGCATACAGCCACACGCAACTCCACTGGAACAGCCTGGCGGTATCTTGTAGTCTGTCGAGTCAACCTTTGGCGAAGACAGTTACAGAGGTGATAGAAGGTGGTTCTTCTCATTCGAAGGTTGAGCAGCCAATCTCTCGCTGTCCAGTTGTCGCACACATGTTGCCACCAAGCATGACACCGTGGTTTGACCCAGAGACTCTAAAATAACACACACACATACAAATACATTAATACAAATAACATTCAGTTCAGTGGTAGAATTCACAGATACTAACAACATTTTTAAGGGAAAGGTTACAGAAATGTTGCCCAGTGTTTTCTAAAAAGATTGATTTGAAACTACTGCTTTGGCAGATTCATAGACTTGGTTGCTATTTTGCTATTTATTATTTTTTATCTGTATTATTTTTTACTATTATTATACTCTTGTCTGTATTTATACTGTAGTTATTGCTGTATGTCTCTCCTGTCTGCTAGTTATTTGTTTTATTTGATATTTTATTACTGAGTTTAATGCTCAGTCATTTTTCCCTGAATAAACAATTGTTAAAAACACTGTTAGCACTAATTCTAACAGGCTTTTGGATGTTGTGGATATGTGCCATTTATGTGCAAAAAAGTGTTTTTACATAAAAGGTGGGGAGCGGAGAGGTCGCCCACTTAGGAGAAAAGGCTTTCACCTTTCAAAAACCGTCTTCACTTCGGTAACGTTAAGTATTAATGAACGGAGACGGATTTACACAGATAAAAAAAATTGTCTATGGGGAAATGTAATGTTAACGTTATTGTCCATGACAGGGCGAGTGTGAAAGCGAGCTCAATGACCTGGACCACAGCTGGTGGTGGAAGCCGACCCAAACTGAACATAATACACAAAACTGCCTTGCTAGCTCAATCTTGTAGTAACATTATAATTTTCCAGTGTAATCATTTGCCACTCACCTCACTGGTCTTTCCTGATGCTTAGCCAGGGCTCGCAGGTGTGCTTGAAGTTGTCTTCTCCTTTCCTGCCGGCGACGATAAAGCCTCCGCACGACCAGGACGTTCATCCGAATCCTAGCTAATTGATCTAGGCTCGCTTATTGGTCATAATTTTGATACTGCTGGTAGCAATGCCACAGCAATAAAATTATTGCCACGATGTGTTCATTCATTCTCTTGCTAAGTGCTAACCATAGAAAAAACTATCCAACTAGCTGAGGAGAGCTAAGGCGCCGACCATTGGTTAGGCTGACCAAACGTCCTCTTTTGCCCGGACATGTCCACTTTTCATGTCCTGTCCGGGGCATCCGGGGGGTGTTTATAAATTGATGATAATGTCCAATTTTCCTTGTGTGTGTGTGTGTGTGTGTGTGTGTGTGTGCGTGCGTAATCCCAGAGAGGCTGCATATTGGCGGATCTCCAACACTCACAACGAGGAAGCAGCAGACACCTGCGGCGCAGCATTTATTCTAAGCTTCCAAGATGCCAAAGCGCAAGTGCAGCTTCACAGATGAAGTGCAGAAAAAATTCCCAACTTCCCGTCCCGACCCGCTCGGGATATATGGGAGGCTGAGTGCACCGTGTGCAAAGCTGGCACATTTGATTCTGTGTCTAATAACGGTGCCGGGGAGCTCAAAGCTGGATTTTCTAATACAGAAGAGGTATTATTTAGAACATTATTTCATATTATTTATTTATTTATTTGTCCAGTAAGACTTGAAAAGATAACTATTATTTTACAAGTTGATTTTTCTAATACAGAAAAGACATTATTTCTATCATTATTTCATTCCAGAGATTTTACATTTATATTTATTTTTGTACAAATGAAAAAGATTATTAATTTAGGCATAATAAAAGCAAGTTGAGTAACCTTTGAGAAGCCTATCTAAATTTCTGTCTTTGAGAGATATAATTTTGTAATATAACTGAATTTTCTATCCATACATATAAACTTTAAATATATTAAAATTATAAGGCATCTTTGAGTAAACTGCGAGTATCATTTAAGTAGGCTATCTCGTGGCCGGGTCGAGTGTCCTCTTTTTTGGAAATCAAAATATGGTCATCCTACCGTTGGTGACGTGACTATGTCATATGCACGCCTGTTTACAAACCAATCAATGTCAAGTGCAGGGAGACGCAACATATGTAGTTAACGTCAATATGTAATTTGGTCCAGTCGCCTTAATGAGTGTGAAACCAAACCGACCAGACCAAATGTATACTACGTAGCAAAAACACAGACCATGGTCAGGTGTGAAAGCCCGCTAACATGCTATTAATGCAGACACTCACCCTGGCCTCAGACCTGCACCAATTCATCAATCTGAGTGTCCCATATCCTCAATCGCCGACTCTTGCTTTCCCGTTGTTAATTCTAGAAATTCTGACAATTGGCACCAGCCTCCGACCTTCTTTCGACTTTTTTACTTGGGTCGTTTCTTCACACGGAGCCACTTTAACCATTTATAGGCAGAAAATTCTCAACCACATTAAAATTCCAGGGCACTGTCTTCTTTAGTAAACATCATACATACGAGCTACAATACAAACAATATCCGACACTCCCATGCACTCTTGAAGCTCTCTTGGGGGCTCTATCTGAAGCCAAGCTAACAAAGAGGCAACTCCCCGACTCAGTCTCACTCCCAGGATCCGTCTTGCATTCCTGCCTTCGACCCAACACATCCATCATCGCGCTCGCCTGCTACCCAGACAGCCAGCCTTCATCCCTCAACTCTCAATCTTCCATCCCTTCATCCCTCAACCCTCATCCCTTCATTCCTCACTCTTCCTCCCTTGATGTTTATCCTGTTATCCCTAACCTTTCATCCACCTAGCCCTAAACCCTTCATCCCTCATCCATTCGACCCCTAACACTCATCCCTTCATCCCTCCATCCTCATCCTTTCATTCTCTAATCCCTTGATCCTCACCCCTCCACGCTTTCCTCCGAACCCATAATCCATCATACGCAATAAACCATTCGAAATCTTTATCTTATTGGTGTGGTCTTTGTTAGTGAAATATATTTATTGAAAACCCCAATTCACTCACTCAACTTCAGTTTTTTTGGAAACAGCTTGCACTCAAAAATTTCAGTTTAGTACAATTCAGTAACATAAAAGTTCTGAGTACATCAGACACAAAATAAATGTCACATGACCGTTGTCTGACAGGAATTTTATGTCAGTTTAACATAACTTTTTTTAATCTTATCTCTAAGTGCACCTTATTTCACCTCAGCACACTAATATCCACATAGGCATGAGGTCCCCAACTGTGTAAACAACTAAACTAATGGTCCGGCAATGTCTTTAACCCCAACATTAATTGTAAAGCATAAGAACCATTGTGAAATACAGTACATAAACATTATTCACTGTGTAATGGGTAATGTGAGTGATTTAGAACACATTTAAACAGAGTTTTCTTCAGCTTATGGCCTTGCACACTGTCTTAAAGCATGCTGGGTAACTTCACCCATTTAGCCCGAACAATATGTTAAGTGCACAATGATAGTATTGTTTATTGGCTAAATCGGCTTGATAAATTTTAGTCAAATTAACTCAAAACTCAACTTGCCTTAACATGAAAATGGAATGGGTTTTTGCATCAGGTGAACATAAATTTTATGTCATTTTGACAATCCCGGGCATTATGTAGACTCTACATTAAAATATTGTGTCATGGATGGATTGAAGTTTACAGTTCATAGCAATTACTAATAATGAGATTTCCCAGAGTTTAAGATATCCGAGTTTTGAATTGTAAAGTTGTCTGTAAAATGTCTTAATAACTTCTCAGTAATATTCATTGTATGTACTGTTATTTTCTACAATTAAGTATCAATTCTAACATTTCAAATGATACTTTTTGCATATAAAATATGGGAATCCATCAATTTAAACATTCTCATCAAATGAATTATAGTGCTAAAAATAACTGATATTTTTACAATTTCTTCCATATTTTTCCTCTGTAGGATATGTCATATATATATATATATATATATATATATATATATATATATATGTGTGTGTGTGTAGTTAAATAAATCCAAATGTCAGCACTCACAAAAATAATATATATTAGTCCTTTAATAACGCACAGCAGTATCACAAACGGACGCGTTTCAGCACTGGGCTTTGTTCAGCGTCGAGGAAAGCCAAGTGCTGAAACGCGTCCGTTTGTGATACTGCTGTGCGTTATTAAAGGACTGATATATATGATATTTGTGAGTGCTGACATTTGGATTTATTTAGTTTGTGAGTTTTGGGTCGGCACCCTGTGATTTTTCAAACGGTGAGTCGAGCACGTCAATTCTTTTGTTTATAGCTGCCATAAAACAATGAAAGCTGTTAAACCTTTCAAAGTCAGGTTTAGCCTACTAGACTTTTTTACTAGACTAGTATCACAAAAGACAAACTTGCTTTTCAAAGAATTCTGTCTTGTATTTGGGTTGATGAGCTCCTGAAACTTTGAGAACCGAGATCAAGTCGGGGATCCGACAGTGTTAGACAGCGCATTTGTCTTCAATTGGCTTACCTTTGCCGAGCTTGCTCGCCCCCCCGATCATGTACGTACTTAAACGAAGCAAGCCACTGGTGTCCTGGTGCTGTAATAATCCACGCAAACTTGAATATTCTCTGCGGTGCTCTGCGTCGGTTCCTCGGTTATACGCTATCCTTTGGCATAATGGCGCAGTCCTGATATCGGTGCTGCTCATGGCTGGAGACACTGTCACAGAGTGACAGCACTGACCACCGTGCGGATCCTGCAGGACTAAGGAGCTAATGAGCCCAGAGGTTACCGTGCCGTACCGTGATGTGACGTGCGTCCTGCTGCCGGACAAGTGTTGCTTTACGTTCAGATGTGTGTGTGTGTGTGTGTGTGTGTGTGTGTGTGTGTGTGTGTGTGTGTGCGCGCGCGTGCCTATGTATGTGCCTGCATGT